CTGTTCAGAAAGCAGTAGTAATCTCCCGAGATGGTCACTTGCTTGCCAGCGGTTGGCAGCAGGGATTCAAGCCCAAGCTCGCCATTCCTTGGATGCATCTACCGTTTAGGGTTTAGGGGTTTAGGGTTTAGGGTTTGAGGTTTAGGGTTTAGGGGGTTTAGGGTTACTTAAACAGTGGGGTGGTAGTGGGGGTTGGGGGTGGGGCGAGGGCGGTGGTGGTTTTTGGTCGTCCGCAGGCGGCAGCGCGTCCGCATACTTCTGGTACAGCTGCTTCAGCACCTTTCCATGCGGTTTGATAGTATGTTTCTGAGGTGTGCCCCCCACCCGGTAATAGTGACTATAAAGGATAGTAAGGACTATATTACGTTCATCTTATATTCCCATTATACCACTATTCACTATTACAGGGTGGGCGGGGTTCCAGCTAATATGTTTCAAACTCTTCAAGCAACATTCCCGGCAAGCGGTAAGCATAAGTACGATGGATACTAAAAATCCTGCATGACCTTAAGTACCCTATATCTTGGGAATCATGGTAATTTAGTATACTAAGGTCATGCAGGATCTTTAGTATCAACAGTATCACACGCAACGTGACAAGGACACCAGGGTTTGGGGTCGAGGCTTTAGGCGCTTTCCTTTTGTGTGAATAAACGGTAAAACTCAGCCAGAAAGTATCCGTCTAAAGTAACCCTGAGGGTCCAAGGACCCAAATAATGGGGTCTCAGGGCCCAAATGCCATTAATAGTATAGTAATCCGAGGACTTCATGATTTTCCCCCCTCCAGAATAAGAAATGGAGGGCGCCAGATTAAAAGAATGATTGCGGCTCTTGGAGCTCCAGTACAAACTGAAAAAGAATGCATTGAATCCCTATTTAAAAAAACCTTGGGGCTCTCGGAGCTCTTGTACAATCTGAATAGGAATGTATTGCCCCGCTATTACAAATCCTTGGGGCTCTTGGAGCTCTAGTACAAACTGAATACCTGGTGGAGCTCTAGTGCAAACTGAATAGGAATGTATTGAATATCGATTAAAAATCCAAAAGAAAAGCATTCTTCGGTCATTGGGTAAAAGGATAGGATCCTTCTGGTAGACTGTAAGCTGGGATCCTAGTATATATAGCTAACTTATAGAAGGAACCCCAAACCCTAAACCCTAAACCCTCAAGCGCGGCCTTGCACAAACGCATAAAGGATCCCCAAGGTTGACGCAACTATGCGATGTTGTCATAATTCATTAGGGTACCAAGGTTTAGGGTTTAGGGCTTAGGGTTTAGGTGGGTCGCTTTGAAGGATGGCGCCTTGCGCTTAAGATAACCGCAACAGTACCATAGTCTGAGAAGCGCTCTTATCAACATTGGGGTCAAACAAATAAGGTCCCTAGGTTGGGGCGTACATATGCTAAAGATTGAAGCGTTTCAAGGAACATTTGGGGGATCCTACTTTTGCTACCACCCGCGTCACGATGAAGGTATCAGTTATCATCTTTATTCCTGTATTCCTACTACTGCTCCTGCCTCCACAACGACGGCAACTGTGGCGTTTCTCTTCTCAAGATACAGGCTATGCTCTTCTTACCGTGCGAGGAACAACCTTCGTCCCTATACGATCTCCACAAAAATTGCATGGCCCCTGTAGCTCCTGACGTACTCCCTTCAAAGCCTCATGAAGCCAATTTCCACTCAACTTGGCAATCTAAACTGCAGTTCCATTAAACCTACAGTAAAAATGCTACTTGAACCATTTCCTTAGGCCAATGAGACCACAGGAAAGAGCATCCTCGATAAGCTGCAAATGACTAGCGTTTAGTATTTAGGGCTCTCCAGAATAGGGGTCGTACGATTCTCGGACCAAAAGGGAACAACAACTTGGCCAACCTACACCGTGGAGGTTCTGTTTTCAGAAGCCTCCACAAATCAAAAGTGAAATAATAACAATAGTACTAGTGAAAGCAGTAATCTTCATAATCCCGCTTACGTTTCATATTGCATGTTATTTTCCAGTCTCCAGTCTCCAAACCCTGTATATCCTTGTATGCCCCTTGAAGGAGATTTAGGGTTTCCATTCCATTCCCCATTTGATTCATAGTCTAAACTCCTAGTATCCCCCTTAATAACCTGCATCATTAGCACTCCCCTATACAATCCCCTTTAAGGAGTTTAGACCCTATTCCCTAGACCCTAAACCCTAAACCCTACATAACCCTCTTGTAAGGAATTTTACCCCAGAAGCCCAGTTGCCTATGTTTTGGGTTCCTGTCCTTGGGTCCCCATATAAACTTATACTATCTATAACCCAAGAACCTACTACATGGGTACCTGGGCTTCTAGGGTTAGATTATTGCTTCTTTGAATTCTAGGCCAAATTCCGTCCCAAGGCACTGGCCACGGCGTGCGAGCCCGTTGATCTCCGCGCAGACGGCCTGGAGATACTGCTTGCCCAAAGGGTCCATGTAGCTAGGTTCAGGGTTTAGGGTTTAGGGTTTAGGGTATATACTTGGGCCTTAAAGTAGGTATATGGGAACCCCTTGGGCCCTAAGTATATACCATATACCTACATGGACCCTTTGGGTTGGTTTAGGGTGAACATGCGGTGAATCATGAGGAAGGGGTATGAAGGCAAACGTCCCTAATTACTTGTGATTGCAGCTCCTTATTCATTTGCATCAGCAGACGTGTCTCAGATGTTGCATCCTCGCTTATGGAGATCGTGCCTGCGTCTTAAAACGCTCAGAATTTCAAAATGTCATAGTCCGGTTGGCTGGCACTTGTCAATTTCATACGCACCGGGAAATGGATTCTTGAGTAGATGTTGCTTGGCAGCTCCGACGTCAACGAATTTCTTGTTGATCCAGAAGGAATCGCAAACGTCGTTGTTCCAACAACTGGAACCCAACAAATCGTAGCCTGCATCCTCCAGCCACTTCCCTGGGTTGCTGTAATTAAGCTACTATAGGGTTTAGGGTTGAGGGTATATTATCCCCCCTATAATGGAGAATCAAATGGAAAAGAAAATGGAAAATGAAATGGAAACTGAAGAAATATAGGGATTTAAGGAGCTTAAATTAAGTTACTATATTGGAGAAACCCTATTATTTACTATATATACCCATTATGGTAACTTAATTTAAGTTCCTTAACAGCAACCGAGTTTCTGACCACCTTGTTCTTTGCCTTGTTGACTGCGTCCCACTGGAGCTCTTCGACCACAAGCGACGCAATTGACGCCTTTCTCCAGTCGACTGACTTCAACACGTGCAGCTCGTATCCTTCAACGTCAAGACTGAAGAAGCTGATATGTTGGACATCGAGCACGTCGAAGAATGACTGCAGAGGCGCGCAAGGTACGAGAGTTGAACCAGCATTAATGTGAGACCCGGTCCCTGTGCCCCCGAAATTGACAGTGGTGGTCTCGTTGCATATGGCGCTACTGATCTTGACCGTGTTTGGACGGTTTCTCTGAAGCGTCTTGAACGTGCTGGGCTTGCCTTCAATCATGAGGCCCTTCCAGCCCAGACAGCTCTCAAGGAAGTGCGTGTTGGTCTCGTGCCAGCCGTCATAGCCACCCAGCTCCACAAACACAGGAGGCGTGTCCCGACTTTGGCGCATGAAAGGCCAGATGTGGCTTACAAAGATATGCTCCTCCTGCCGTGAGTTACTGCAGCCTTGCGTCAGGATGCTATCGCAAGCTGGGCAGCAGTGGTCCAACGGACCCTGCAGCTTGCTTTCAGTTCCCGACGCCAAGTATTTCTGCCAGTGTTTTTTCCAGGTATCTGCTGTAAGAGGACTTTGGCAATCGTCCCCGAAACAGACCAGGGTACCCTTTTCAAAACGAGGGGCCTTCCGTGCAATAGGGGCTTGGACCGCGCAGAAGACATCGTTAGCGTCCGCGCAGTCTGAGCTGCACAGGCCAGGACTACATAGGCTGAGCAAGACTCCCAGAGTCAGGTGCTGCGCAAGCAAGACACTCATTGTCAGGCTCTGGAATGAACACGAAGGATAGAAGATGATAGAAGGCTAGGCCCGACTTTGTCAGGCTCTGGAACGGACACAAAGACTAGAAGGCTGAGCGCTTTCACTCGGGCCTAACAGAGGCGTGGCCGGACAGTTGCAGAGGGCCACTTTAAGAGGCTTGCTGATACTTAGCCCATATTACCCCAGGAAGAAACAAGGATCCTTTTTTCATAAATATAAGGAATCCCATACCCCCAAAAAGTATAAAGGATCCCTAACATTGATCCAGGATAGGTGTCACTGACATTGACAGCATGCACTGCACACAGTAGCAGAGTGGCACGGCACTTCCAAGAGCTGCTTGCCGTTGCAACTAGAACCACTGGGTTGCTGCTAAGGAACTTAAATTAAGTTACCATAATGGGTAGAAATAGTAAATAATAGGGTTTCCCCAATATAGTAACTGAGTTTAAGTTCCTTAACAGCAACCCAGACCACCGCTGTACAACACAAGCGCTCCCTGTCACATAATGAAGGGTCTATCCTCCAGCCCAACAGAAGGCTTACAAAACACAAGACCCAAGGACGGGCCGGAGGTCCTGAATGACAAGTCAAGTACTTCTGCTACCACATGTATCATCCACATACCTTACAGCCTCAAAGATCAGGCACAACTCATGCTTCATTCACGGTAGGGAATTCAGGCGAAGTGCTCTTGCCCCAGTTCCAGATTTTAAGAACTGGCAAAGTCCTCAAGACATGTGCGCTGACTTTGCGAAAGCCCTAGTTAATCAAGCATGTAAATGAGGTAGAAACTGCTTCAAGACCTATGAAGTTTAACAATTGCACTCCTTGTATCCCCCCCAATATATTCCGATCCTCATGCCTGATGCGGAACCCCGAAAAGACCACAAACTTGTAGAAATCCACGACTGAAGCCATAAGTGCTCTGCGACCGATGGTCTGATGGCCTGATCTTATAGTCCGTAACCTCGTAAAACCCTAAAACCCACGTTGAAACCCAAAACGCTACTTACTGGCGCTTTGTAGGGAACAAGGGAATACAATCCTTATACAGCCCACATATAATTTGTTTCTGTCTTCCCTACCTACCCCCAGTAAGAAAAATCGAGCATGCAAAATGGTCAAGCAGGCCTTATTGTGGTGACCCGAGCCGCGCGCCTGGATCACATGACGAAGGTCACACGAGGTTTTCACGCCGCGCTTCCTGAAAAGCTGCAAGTTTTTCTTGCTGGTGTTTTGCGAAACCCTCAATCCTAAAAAAGCCCTAACGGTCCAAGTACCTAATAACCATATAGTTTCTGAAAACCTGTTTTACCCTAAGTACCCAAATATTGGATACATGGACCCTTAGGGAAACCCAACGGAGCAGAAAGCACAGGCAATCCAGCCTGGGTCTCGTCTCTGTTTTTTGCAGATTGTTCCTGCTTGGCAGCCAAGCTAGGACGCCGGGTTCGAGGAAAAGCTTTCATGTGGGAGCTTTCTCTTTGGGGATACGGAATGAAAGCGCTATAGTCCTTTGGGAAATTTTGGGACCGCGCCAATGTCTTCCAGCGTTCAGGATGAGGCGAACACAAGCGGATGGCTGCATCTGGAGAGTTCTCGAGCTACACTCTCCATTACCCCCTGCAACCTGTAGATAGCTGCAAAAAGTTCACAAATACTTTGATACAGTAGATAGGGAAAACTTGCTCTACCTGGTATAGTTTAACGCCTTATACCTCCAATAATTACAATATTTCGGGTTCCTAAGCGGTGCAAGATCCTCCATCCACGGTATCACTCGGTGTTGTTTGCTAGTTGAAGTGTGCGCTCAGGCCTCAAACTTACGAATGACGGTTGGAGGTGCAGTTGCTGATGTCTTTTGCGATCCTCAGACAACCAGTTCCTTACCTGGTACAACCCCCTTTTTCCTGGTAAACGCCATTCCAAATAGAGTATGCAATCCATGCAAGGGATGACTTGTTTGGGGTGTGGAAGCTTTACGTACTTCTTGACGGAAAGCATTCGCCCACCGCCTGTCCTCCTCTGTCCGAGGGGTTAACGAGAGCCAGAACATGGCAGGTCATGCTCTTGGGCAAGATTCCACACAGCTTGAACCCCGAAATTTAAAGTTCCGTAGAAACGTGTAGGGCTTATGTGGGAGTTGCACATGGCGTGGGGACATGATGAGCCTGCAAAAGGAAGAGGAGCGGATGATGACTCGTTGCACAGGGATGATGCAGTATGCGCGAATGTGTCTTCCACCTTTTGTGCCACAAAGTGCATTTGGGTTGAAGGATATTCTCTGCCCTGGCTGTAAAAGTATTACATAAGGGCTTGGCTGAAGTGGGCCCCTGCACTGGCAACCAAGGAGACATGAAAAACATCCTAATGCTAGTTTTACAATAGGAAAAATGGGTATGCTGTGTTTAGTCGACATATTGGGCACAATGGGTATGCTGGGTACAATACAGGTAGCGGTTCTGGTCAAGAAACGCTTCTTGCAACCCTTCAGTGATTCAGAACGATACGGCTGCTGAGCCTCAACAGAGCAACGCAAACAACGAAGCATTTGAGTTGCCGGTTCTTTCCTGGGAAAGCAAAACTAACAGATGGAAGTATAATATTGGGTATCTTGGGTATACTGGGTTTATTGGGCGTCTTGGACGTGGGTTGGTATAGTGGGTGTAAAGGCAAAAATTGCTGCTTCAGCGGGCAAAGGACAAGCAGCTGCTTTCCAGCGCTCCAGAGCACACATCTTGTCAACATCGTTGGATATACTGGGGTATATAAAGGCGTAATAGGGGTATGCAAAGAATACAAGGAAAACTGAACATGCTCCACAAAACCCCCAGTACGAGGCACCCCAAGCCCCTTCACCTTTCAAAGCTAAATGTCATTTGTGTACCCCCCCCTTCCAGTCCCTGGGGTCATTCCCCCTTACAGTAACTGTTACCACAATGGGTTATAGGAGTTATGAGAACCCCCCTTATAAGGCCCCTTTAAGGACAGTTACTGGGAGGGGGAATGACCCAACCAATCCCCTTAACCCTGTCCTCAAAAACAGCGACCCTTTACTCCAAGGCAAGGGAAGATGTTTAATGTTCCCGGAAGCCAGGGGTGGAGCCAAGCTTTACGCGCTTCGATTTGAGGCTGGCATACGATGAAACACTACTGATACTTCTTAATGGTACTTCGAATTGGGAAATTTGGCACCTGGAAAGATGAAAACCAAGGTAGGGAACCACAGCTTTAGGTTTCAGAGTTCTTCACAGTTCCCCCAAACACCATACATGAATGATATTTAAGGTCTGTGGATGCTTAGGGATAGGATAGATGTTGAGCTTCGGTCTGCAGGAGGTTCTTGTAAGTAGGACAGATTAGGAGCTTCGGTCTGCATGGAGTCCATATGGATAACCCTAGAAGCCCAGTTACCTATATATTGGGTTCCTGTCCTTGGGTCCCTATATAAACGTATACTATCTATAACCCAAGAACCTACTATATGGGTACCTGGGCTTCTAGGGTAAGATGGATTAGGAGCCCCGGTCTGCGTAGGGTCCATATACAAAACCATCGAAACCCGACTACGTTCTCTTTTTTGTTATTACTCTTATCGTTTTCCGACGATCTGGCACACAGGCTGATAAATTGTGTCAGTTCTATATAAAACCTAATCACCCAGGTTTTTGTCTCGGCTCTCAGGATTCTTCCATCATTTGTAGGATTCCCAATATTACCCCCATTCTGTTGAATCTCTTATGAAACAACCTGTTCTATGATTGCCGCAAATATCCTCTACTTAACGTCCTTGAACCTAAAGCGCAAAATGCCCTAAACCCTAAACCCTAAACCCCTGCTACTCGATTGAAGACCAAGGCTCATGAAAAGGGAGTCGCTATCCGTGTAGAAAACCTTGCATATGTTGAGGGCTCCTTCTGGAGAGCATGAGGACAGTCTAGGGCTGCAGAAATTGATGAAACTTGGATTTCGGTGCGGCTGTAGAACTGCATCCTTCAATCGGTTCAGGTTCTAAGGTTTTGTCCCGAGACCCAGACCCCGCCTAGCTGGGCTCATATTACAGGCTATAGGGTTCAGGGCTTGGGGTTAAAGAGCAATCCTAAGTAAGGTCATACGTAGGCGCAGACTAGAGGATGTTATACTTTAAACACAGCCTAAGGGTCCAAGTACCTAATACTCATATACTTGCCCAAAACCTGTACTATAATGGCTACTACCCCAAACCCAAGTACCTGATCATTGGGTACATGGACCCTTACCCTAAACCCTAAACCCTCAACCCTAAACCCTAAACCCTCAACCCTAAACCCTAAACGGGTTGAGGGTTTAGGGATTTAGGGTTTAGGGGTTTAGGGTTTAGGGTTT